GGGGCTGCGCGCACGGTGGGTGAGCGGGCGGCGCGGGGAAGGCTCGGCCTGCCGCCGCGTTCGCGCTTGTGGGTGGGCCGCGGGAGGAAGACCTCATCTTCCCGGAGACAAAAGTTGTCCGTCGTGGCCGGGTGCCCAGGCCAGCCCACAAAGGCTGCTACCCGTCCTGGGCCCGGCCTTCCCTGCAGGCCCCGGACCGGCTTCCTGTCCTGGGTGGGTGCCGGGACACTGTCCGCCCATCCCAGGGCCGCCGTGGTGGGTCGCTAGGGCTTGTCCCCCACGTTGGGGGTCCAGACTGTTGTCCTCTTGAGCAGGGGCTGGGGCTGTACTCTGTGGCCACTGGGCCCCTGGCCTTCACTCCGGGGGACCGCAGCCTTGCTCCAGGTGGCACTCTTGACTCATTGGAGGCCCTGGTCCATGGGAAGGGTGGGTGCTGTGGTGGGGCCTTGGTTCCCCACCCTCCAAGCTGAACACACAGCCCAAAACCCAGCACTCCCACGCAGAGCGGGGAGCCCCTTCCAGGCCCGGGCTGGTTGTGTGAAGGACAGTACCAACAGCAGTAGTAGTAACTGCCAGGCGCTCGCGGGGACACGTGTGCTGTGGGTCCTGAGCTGCCCGGTGGCTGGTTCGTGGCACCGTTTTCTGGCCGACGCAGCACCCTGTGTGCAAGGATATGTTTTTACGCACTGGGCCGTGGGCTCTCAGCAGCTGTCCAGCTCCGTCAGCTTAGGCCTCGGCCGGCTCTGAGATGGGAGGGGCATGAAGAGGTGTTTGAGGCTAGGCCCCTGCTCCAGGCTTCGCCCGCTCCAGGTCCTGAGAGCAGGCCCTGGGCGTGCTTTTCCTCAAGCCCCTGGGCGCCTTTCCCACACGCACGCACTGTCTTCCACCTTCCTGCTGAGCCCCTGCTTGGCAGGGCGGGAGCTTCCCTGTCCTGGCATCACACAGGGCATGGGACCTTCCTGCTGTTGTGTTTAGTTTAAGACGATGAGTGCAGAGCCGCACAGCGCGTGTCTGTTGGGCTGGCCCCGAGTTGAGGTCATCTCCAGAGAGGTCGTTGGCTCAGCCTGAGGGGTCCCCGAGGAGCCTCTGGGGCCTGGCTCACAAGTGCCCTTCTGGAGGGTGGCAGAGGACTGCTCACAGGAAGAGCATACCAAGGATGTTCTCCCAAGATGTCCAGAGAGGGTGACGCAGGAGCTGGGTTTTGAGGGATGCCTAGGAGTTCGTCCAGCAGGGGAGCAGTGGTGGTGGCGATGGTGGGGCATTTGAGATCAATGGCCCAAGTGTCTGCTCAGACGAGTTATGGCTGATGGGCCGCTGTTTGTGCAGCACCCCCCCATTTGTTGCCTCCTGAATGCTCTAATTATGGGTCTCTAACCACCCAGTCTAGGTGCCCCTCACTGACCGGAGCCATCTGAACCTCTCTTTGTCTCCAGCCCCAGCACTGGGCCTGGTCAAACCGGAGATGCCTGGGACCTGGCGGCCCATGAATGAGCCAGATTCAGTCACCAGGGGTGCTGTGGCTTAGGAGAGGCCTGGGGGTTTCGTGGGGAGGTTTTCCGCGCCGTCTGGGGCAGCTCTGGTTCTCATTTGTGCAAATTGCCTGCCCTCCTGGCCCTCAGACTTCTTTGGTCTGGGGAGCAGGGAGGAAGGGACCTTAGCCTGGGGCCAGGAGAACAGATGGGTACTGTGACCAGGGCCTTGGGGAGGCATGGGCTTCAACAGTCCAGAGGGCTGCCTGGAGGCAGCAGCATCTCAGCTGGGTTGGCAGGTGAGGGAGGCTGGATGAGCCAGAGCCTTTTGCAGATAGGAGTGATTTGTACGAGGGCAGTGGGGGGACAGGGGCTGTGCGGTGGGTTCCAAGCTGCAGGAAGGGCAGACCACGCTGGCGGGCGGATGAGAGGAGAGCCCACCTCTGCCCAGTGCTGGTCTGGCCTCAGGTGACCCCTTGCTTTTTGCAGCGGCTGTGGGCCCCAGCAGGGCTCAGAGCCCTACCCCAGGAGGAGGTGCTGAGTGACGTGTCCCCCACCTGAGCCCAGCACCATGAATGACGTGGCCATCGTGAAGGAGGGCTGGCTGCATAAGCGAGGTCAGTGTGTCTGCCATCAGCTTGGAGAAGCGGGACTGCAGGCCACACTCGTGGGGCTGGGGTCGGGAACCCACACCACGGGCGGACGGTGATACCTGGGGTCGTCCTGGGTCCAGCTTCGCCTGCCAGCATGGAGGGCCCAGCTGGAGGCCCCTTGGGGCCCTAGGTGGGGGCTGTGAGGCCCCGCTGGCATGTGGCTGGGCCATGGGGTGGGAGACCCGCTGCCAGCTTCCCTCCTGGAGTTCCTGGAAGGCAGTGAGGACAGAAGGGGTGTTCCTAGGCTGGGCAGGCGGCCACCTGGGGCACTGCCTGAGCAGTCCGGAGGGCAGGCCAGGGCTGCTTGGCTTGGCCCAGCATTTGCCCTAGGCCTGAGGTGGTGGTGGTGGGGCTGCAGCACCCAGGGGACAGCACAGAGTGGGTGTGTGTTAGAGCCGGCCACCACCTGAGCCTGGGGCCGTGTCCCCCACCCCTCCTCTCCTGTCATCTCCCAAGTGGGGCTGGCAGGGTTTTGGGGAGTGGGAGCTGGAACCTGGACCCTCCCTTCCCACCCCTGCCTGCTGGCCTCCCCATCCCACCCCTCCTGTTCTCAGGGCCAGTGCTGGCAGGCTGGACTGACTAGCCTGCCCCTTTGAATTGGGGCCTTCTGTCCAGGTGCTCCCTCCCCCCGTGCAGGGGACTGCCCTGCCCCAGTCTTGACTTCCTCTTCCTCCAGATCTGTTCCCTCCTGGTGACCCCATTCCAGGGCATCACCACGCCTCTCATGTTCTCCAGGGGACAAAGGTCCCATAGGCCTTAGGAACCTCAGACACTGGTGGAAAAGTAGGTGTCATGAGACACAGGGTTTTGTAGGATGCATAGGAGCTCTCTAGGAGCTCTGGTGGCGCAGTGGTTAAAGAATATGGCTGCCAGCCAGAAGGTTGGTGGCTGAACTCAGCAGCAGCTGTGCAGGAGAAAGAGGGGGCAATCTGATCCCGTAGCTTTATGATCTTGGAAGCACGTGGGGCGGTTTTGCTCTGTCCTCTAGGCGCTGTGAGTCTGAATCACCTCCATGGCAGTGGATGTGGTTTGGGCTTTGCTTCTGTGAAGACTGACAGCCTTGAAAACCCTGTGGACAGTTCCACTCT